CCCACAGCCCAAATCCTCCCAGCCCCATCCCGAGTGACAAACACAGGTGGGATTGCTCCTGTGCAGTGCCCACTGTGGGTCAGCATCTCCAGTGCAGGAGCTGCAGGGCCACTTGGTTAACCTTGAAACCCTCCCTGGCTCTCACGTGTCACGTCAGCCGCTGACAAGAAGCTGCTATTCCAGATTAGAGAGAGGGGGACAGAGAGAGCCCGAGACAAGAGGTTTGGGGGTGGCTGATTTACCTACTACAGCCAAAAGTGGACATGAGGCTATTTTTAACCCGGGGTGGGACGTATTTATTGTTTCAGCCTAAGGGGAAGGAGGGACTTGCCTCCGAGACACCTCTCACAGCAACACCAGTGCCTGTGCGAAGCCATGGTGAGTATTGAGAGCTCAGAATCCCAGCGGGAAGAGGCAAAATCCATTAGCTTTTTCACCAGGATAGCTTTAACGCACAGGGAATGATGGAGGCAACAGGGATCTGATGGCCAAAGGTCCCTCCTGCCCTGGGAAGGGGGTGAGCAGTCTGGCTGCATTAGCAGCATCCCGTGGGGAACAGAGAGGTGTATCCCGCACTAGCAGAGCTTTCTAACTGGGGCAGAGGGTTTTGGGGTCCAAACACCACTTCTGCTTTCCCTTCCTCCATACAGTGAGAGGAAGGGCCATTGTGTTCCCTAAAATCCCTTCTCTGGCAGAACCCCCCCCCCAGTTAGAGGGAAAGGCTGCCGGTATGCGTGGTGGGAAGAGGGATGGTGGACAGGGTGGGCTGGTGAGCAGCGCTGTTGTTTCAAGCCTCACTGCAGCAGGAGGCCGATTCTTTTATTAAGCAAACAGTTTAATAAGAGCTCTCAGTGAGGCACAGCAGGATAAGGAAGCACCTAATGACTACAGCCCTTAGATGCACCCTCAGCAGCAAACCCCCAGCTCCCAAACCTGGATATCCATCCAGGGAGATCTCAATCTCACAGCAGTGCCGACCCTTTTACCTGCCATAGCCTTTGGTAGGGAAGCGATTTCCCAACTCATCTTTCCTGGGACCTATTTTGGCTGAATTCATCAGGAAGGCAAAGATAAAGCTGTAATTTAAGCAGGAATCTTAACACCCCTCAATATGGGAGGATTGCATGTGTCCAGAGCTGAGCAATGCACCAAGCACCCAGGGAAGAGAGCAGAGCAGCAGCACCAGCCCAGAGCTACCATGAAGGACTCGCCTAAAAATAGGGTAGTTTCATGCTTTTATTCCACGCCATAAAAAGCCAATGAATTAGTGATACATACTTGAACCCCTGCAGGCACCCAAGAAAGCCAAGAAGAGGATTGAAGGTGCTAATTCCAACGTCTTCTCCATGTTTGAGCAGGCCCAGATCCAGGAATTCAAAGAGGTGAGTGTGTTTGGATGACCGAGGGTCCATGATGCGATGTGACCTTCAGCCCTTGATGGTGTTCCCCCTGCATGGCTGGACACGGGTCTGTACAGCACTAGGGTCTGGGCTGCCATAGGAAGCCACCACCCCACAACACCCAAGGGGGCAGGGGCCAGGATTGCTGCTGGATTTGGGTAATGGTTGTTGCTCCATCCTGGGAGGGCTCAAGGTGCCCTTGTTCCATTCAAGTTGAAGGGAGGAGGAGGAGGGTATTAAAGCCTTTGCAAAGGCTGACAACTCTCCCTCTCCCTGTGCTCCCTGTCCTCCTCCTGTGCTTCCAGGCATTCACCATCATGGATCAGAACCGGGATGGCTTCATCGACAAGGCAGATCTAAGAGACACCTTTGCTGCGCTCGGTGAGACCCCTTTCAGGATCTTTCCTACCAGCTTAGACAACATCAGACCTATTATGTGAGAAACCAGCTGTGAGCCCCCATTTAACCAAGCCCCAGCAGTAACTGGATCTGTTGGTGCACTGAAAACCTCCTGATCCAAACCCACTTCTGTTAGCCGGTGGGATCCCACCCGGGGTGACTCCCATGTGGGAGCAGATCCCAGAGCAGCGGGTGTTTTATCCCAGAGATCCAACTGCTGGATTATACACAACCAAATGCTTCCTGCCTTTTCACGTGCTGAGAAGGGCCTGGTTGGGCCTATCCCACAGCATCTCTGGGTGTAGGGGCATTAGGGGGATTTATGGGCTTTGTGGGAAGCTGTGAACTTGTGAGCTTGGCTCCCTCATCACAGATGCCAGCATGAACCAGTGATGGGGCCGGGGAGTCCCAAAGACACCCAACCTCAGGCAAAAGGATGTAGATATTCAGTCCTGTTCCCTTCTGACATAGGGAGGAGCAGCACTGGTGGTTTCAACCCAAAACATCTTCCAAGGTGGGCTGAAGCAGGCTGCTCCATGGGGCAGTGAGGGAAGGACGCAGCACAGCTCAGCTCTTTGCAGCCCTCTGCTGTGATCCTGAGGCTGTAGAAAGCAGAGATGGAGATGATGGAAATCAGTACATGATTCTCCCATCCTCACGTCCGCCACTGCCCTTCCTTGTCAGAGGTGGCTCCCTAGGGCTGTGCTGCTTCAGATGGGGGAAAAACCTACAAGAAGGCTCCCATGGTGTGTCCTTTAGCCTCCAGCACATAGAGCAGAGCCTGGAGGGCTGCACACATCTGCAGCTGGACATAGACACCCAGTTCACCCACTGCTGCTCTCCCCTAGGGCGCCTGAACGTGAAGAATGAGGAGATCGATGAGATGATAAAGGAGGCACCCGGCCCAATCAACTTCACCGTGTTCCTCACCATGTTTGGGGAGAAACTCAAGGGTGAGAGGGCGGCTGGGGGGGTCGGTGGGCACCAACACCATCACCAACATCCTGTCCCACCTGAGGAAGCCACCAAACTCCCAAGGCCTCCATCACCCTTCCAGGGAGACCCGTCAAAGGGTCCATGGAGCTATCAGATGGGAGCTGCTGAAGGAAAGGAAGTGGCACTGGCTGCTGTTCTGCAGCAGGCAGAGCATGGGAAGTGGGAAGAGCAAAGATGCTTCCCATGCCATGGAAAAAGGTCACATGTGAGGACAACTATGGGATACTTGTGAAATTGCCTCTCTTGCCCATCCCTCCCACATAACTTAGTGCCACACAGCACTTAGCAGCAGCACAGGGACCCTCCAAAGACAGAGGCTATGGTGGGATCTTCACCAGCAACAACCTCTCTTCCCAAGAGCTCCAGTCCTCATCCTCCAGATCTTGGTGCTCTCCCTGCTTCCCTGTCCTGACACACCACAAACTCAGTATCAGGGACCCCAGTGAGGTCCCTGCACCCCAAAAATTCACACTGATTTGCAAAAACAACAGTCCCAAAGGCAGGGCTGGGGCTGGATCTTGTTCTATGTCCCCCCAACCTGTTGTGGGGGGTGAGCAGGTCTCCATGCCTCAGTTTCCCCAGCCTTTAGCAGACCCCAAGAGGCTGAGATGCTGCTGTCCCTCAGCCTGCTGACACACCACCCAAGGCATGCAGCCTCCCTGCAGCTCTCCAGGAGGCTCTGCAGCCACAGGAGCCTGGAGCTCTATAAATACACCCAAAGATAAGATAGACGCCGGCTGCGGGGCGGTGGTGACAGCCTGCTCTGTGGCCACACCAGAGCCCTGCATCTGCTCCTCGACTGCCCCCACCTCCACTTGAGGCCCCAGCTGCAGGGTTGACATTCCTGTTGGAATGATGCTTCCCAGCCTTCCCGTCTCCCCCGAAAGGCTGTGGGAAGCAGGAGGCTGCATTGGTTTCCTCCTCCACTGTCTCCAATGGCTGTGCCTATATCACCCACAGGAGCAGACCCGGAGGAGACGATCCTGAATGCATTCAAGGTGTTCGATCCAGAGGGAAAAGGACTGAAATCTGCCTAGTAAGTGCAGGGGTGGCCAGGGGGAGGGTGGGTGTCCTCACCGAGGCCTCCCTGGTACTCACCACACTCTTGTTTGCAGCATCAAAGAAATGCTGATGACACAGGGCGAGAGGTTTTCCCAGGAAGAGGTACGAGCTCCTTCCCACCATCCCGACAGACCCCCAGCCACAAACCCCTTCTGTGCCACCTTTTCAACCTGTCTCCTTCCCTTTAGATCGAGCAGATGTTCGCAGCCTTCCCTCCAGACATGTCTGGCAACCTGGATTACAAAAACCTTGTCCATGTCATTACACATGGTGAAGAGAAGGACTAACTGGACACCACGGGACTGCCTCCCTCTAGGTCGCATGGGGGGTCCCTTTGCCTCCTTCCTTCCCTGGAGAACACACGAATGGCATCCACATTAAACTGTCTTTTGGCAAGAGGAAATCCAGCTGCTGGTGTGAGCAGTGCTTGGGCTTGTGTGGTGTGTCTGTGTGGTGTGTCTGTGCCCTAAAACCCCCCCAGACCCTCACCCCAGCGTCGCAGCCCCACTGCACATCATCCTCCTGTGCCCTCAGTCTCTCTGCCCCAACATGTCCCAGCCTGGCCTATCTCCTAGCCCCAAACAGCCTGTTTGGCCCTGAGCTGTAGCAAGCACCCATCTGGTCCCACCAGCCCAGCACCAGCACCGAGCTTAGCTTTACTTTAGGCAGTAGAGAGCTGCCTGCTCCCGCCGGGTTAGCAGGGGACACCCAGCAAGCACACTAATCCCCATTATATCCCCCCATGCACCTTGGGCAGGACTGGGACTGTGATCTGCATCTCCTCCCTTGTAGCTACACAATGCCTGGCTGCAGGAAGCGTGTTGGGTTGTGCCATGGGGACAGCATCCCACTGGAGAGCAGTGGGCCTTGGATTTGGTGGCTGTCAGCAGTGGGTGAAGCCATGCTGAAATATCACCTTTTGAAGCCTGCAGAAGGCATTGGGCTCCTTCCAGAGGAGAACAGACATGGAATGATGTCCAGGATACAGAAGCAGAGGGGAACTCAAGAGTAAAACTGTTTATTTATTCCATCCCTGGTGCATTCTCATCCGTGCTGGCAGCGTTGTCCCAATCCTTCTTCTGGTTCTGGAGAACCATCTGGCAAAGCTGATCATGGTCCAGAGGCACCTCCACTGCCCAAGAAAACATCCACCCCATCACACACACCTTATATACCTGGTGGGGCAGGACAGGCTGGGTGGGGTTGGCTGGGGAGGATGGGTGACAGCGGGACATAGGGATCATGGATTGTCTGGCTGCATGGACGCAGCCCTTCCCTCCCGCACTCACAGGCATCGATGGTGTCATTGGTGCTGTCCGAGCTGGGAGGGGGTGGGCAGACCTGGGACCAGTTTATTGCCCGGAGGAGCTCGGAGCCTCCCAGCAGGGGGTTGGTGAAGGGCAGGTCCAGAGAAGAGCCTTCAGTCAGTGTATAGCGCAGGATGGACTCCAGCAGCAGGAGCTCGTTGGTCTTCTTCTCCATGAGACCTGGGTGGGAAGAAGCACCATCCTACAGGGCTTCTGTGGGCCCCAACCCACCCCCAGATGTTTGCTGAGCAGGGGATCCATGGATTTTCCCATGGAAGTGCCGCTGGGCAGCTTGTCTCCCCAGAGCCAAGAGTCCAAGGCAGGGTCCCACACCTAGAGCCAAGATGAGGGCTTGGGGGTCCACTGGGATCATAGAATTATAGAATCAACTAAGTTGGAAAAGACCTTTAAGATCATCAAGTCCAAACTTTACCCCAGCACTGACAAATCCACCACTAAACCACACCACTGAGGGCCTCATCTACAAGCTCTGTGAACGCTTCCAGGGACAGCCAGGTTAGCTCCTGAATTTGGCATCACAAAATCACATTAGGGACACTCATCCATGACAGAGCAGGGGGCGAAAAACCAGCTCAATTAAACCACAGTGCAAGCAAGTGGTGGACATAGAAGGTCCAGGCCATGTGGCGTGGGAAGATGGGCAGCCCTGACCCACCAAAATACTGCATCAGGTTCAGATCCGTGATCTCCCCTTTTTCTCCAAGCTGCTTCATTATGTCCGTAGCGTCACAGCCGATTTCTTTGAGCAGGACTTCCAAGCTGGATTTGAGCTGGCCCAGGATTTTGCTTCTCTCTTTGCACAGGTCTTCGTATTGGTTGGCTTCCTCAGTGGTTTCCGTTAGATTTCTCTGTCAGCAAAGGTTTTGTGAGGTGTCACACCAGTTCCCTGCCCTCCTCCCAACCCCGGTGCTGTCCAGTTCCAGTCTGGAACGTCACAGGAGAGGCTGTGGGATGCTCCCATCCCTGCAGGGGAAGGGCTCTGTGAAGGGGATCCCAAGCTCCCCATGCCAGGGACAAGGCTCCAGGAGGAGCAGGGTTGGCAGGAGCCCTCCAATCACCCTCTCACCATGCACTGGGAGACAGGGCTGCCAAAGCCAGTGCAGGGCCCTTTTCTGCCGTTGGCCAGAGCAGCATCGGCAGGACCAGACTCCCTAGGAGACATGCTAAGACAGACAGGGATCTGCTGCCCTTGCAGAGGGAAATCCTGGTCGCCATACCTCCAGCTTCTTCAGGAGATGAAACTTGTTGGTCTCTGCATACTTCTGACCCTTCACGAGGGATGCAATTTCAATCTGTGTAAACACACGCACACAAAAGGGATACTGGCTGAATGCCCACCAGATGTGCCCAACATCCCTCCGCCTGGGAGCAGGGACGTCCCACTTGACTCCTCTGGGGACCACTGTCCCCAGGCCAGGAGGGCAGGTGACGTCCCCTCCAGCCAGAGGAGTGAGGCAGAGGCAGCTCTTGGCTCTCCTGGATGCTGCAGTATTTTTGCTGGGTACACGGTGGCAGCATTGAGACACTTTTAGCTCTGAGAACACAGTTCTGTCTGTCGGAGTTGTATTTTTGGCTACCTCTTCGCGTTCCCCTAATCCCACCCGTGTGCCAGGCTGAGCCGGGTTCTGGTGTGGGCAGTAGTGCTGGACACATGGGAGAGGAAAAACCCACTCTAGCCCAAAAGCACCAGCTGAGAGGGGAAACATGAAGAGCCTGGAACACACCTGGAGTTCCCTGATCTTCCGCTGCATCTTCTCCATATCATCATTGAGCTCAGAGGCATAGAGGAAGCAGGCAAAGCTCTTCTGCTCCTTCTCAATGAAGCTATTCAGCAGCTGGTCGACATTCCCATCCTCTGCCAGCTCCAGCAGGCGTTTGTAAGCCACCTCCCGGGTCTCAAAGCACTCCCCTTGGCTCTTCTTGGCCCTCTGGGCTGCTTTCAATTCTGAGGGAGAGACAGAGAGCCCAGGCTGTGCGTGTCCCTGTGCACGGCCCTTTGCCGAGCCTTCCCTGCAGGTGCTGTGGGGTTCGGTGTGGTGGGCAGGGCAGGGGGGAGCAGTGCCAGAGGGGCAGAAGGTGTCCTGGTTTCACCCAGGAACTAAGCAGGCACGTCACTGTCCTCATGGGAATGGGGCAAACACAGTGGGATCCCTCCCCAGGAGGATAAAAGGAGACATGGCTGCACACAGGGGCAGTATCCCCATCCCTCCCTCTGCCCCAAGGGCACACACAGTGCTGGGTGGTTATCACTGCTCATCCTTTTCACTTGTAGGGTGAAGGTTGGGTGAAGAAGCCTTTGGACAGGGAAGAGGTCCTGCCTTTGGGGTGCAGTGCTATAAATCACTATAAACAGCCCCGTTGCCAGCTCTGCAGACTCCTGGTTGGCAGTCCCAGCTGCACATACTCTTTCTCCTCTGATACCTCTTTCCTTTTTGGCCTGTTCCTCCAGTTCAGAGCGATCAGTGAATTTGGCAAGTATGAAGGCTTTCAGTTTGGTCTCCCGTGCAAGGATACGCTCCTGCTCCTGCATCTCGATGTGGTACTGGGCAGTGTCTTTGCTGTGCCTTTCGCTCATGGCTGCAATCCTTGCCCGGGCCTCTGATCTGCACACAGAGAGCAGCAGCAGGTTACACCGTGTGTACCAATCTCCCTGCACTGACCAGACACCTAATCCTTAGCACCCAGCTAAGAGAAGAGCACTGAATCCTCTCTCTGAAGTTGCAAGCACTCTCTTTACATCCACACTTATCAATGGCATTGCCTCTTGGTGCTGAGTTTGCCACAGAGGGTTCTCAAAGCCACGTACCGCTGCTCGTAGGCTTGTGTGGTTTGCTCAACAGCAGAGTTCATCCTTCTCTTCTGCTGATCCAGCTTTGTATGGAGCTTGAAGTAGAAGTTATCCAAAACAGCTTTCTGGATTTGCAGGCTTTCAATCTCTTCTCGAAGCTTCTTATTTTTGGCCAGGATGGTATTGAAATGGACACTGGCCTGGGGAGAGGGACGCAAAAAGCTTGAAGCTGGTATAGGACTCAGGTCTCTGTTGAAAGACCTTGACCAGACCTAGGACAAACACAGCCTAAGAGATCTTAAGTCAGCCCTGCACTATCCTCCCCAATACAGGGGAGGCAACAGTAAGTCAGGCTGATCACAACAGAGACCTGGAGCTGGCGTTGTCCAAGTCAAGGTGGCTTCAGGCAGCTTGGTTTTATCACTACACAGGTGCAGACCTTCAGGCTTGTTGGCACAGCACAAGTGCTGCATTTGGGTCACCAAGCTTGAAGGAGCCTTTGAGGCCAGGGGAACAAGCCAGGTCCTTTATGCAGCTCAGGTCAACCAAATGCATTTGCACCATTAACCCTTTGTCCTGACCAAAGAGTGGGTTTCACACAGGCCCCAGCGTGGCCCCACACATGGTCTCCAAATGTCTGCAATAGGTTTGCTCACGTTGTATAGACGCATCTCCAGTGTGTCAATCCGCTTCTGCAGCCGTTTGCTACAGTTTGCTTGCTTCACCTTCGTTGCTATCAGGTTCTGCTTCACAACCTTTATTTCCAGCTCTTGTATCTGCAACACATTAAAAATAATAATAATCATAATAAAAGGAAAGCTTAATCTCCACCCCTGTGTTCTGGACTCTTGTCAGGACACTTAGCCAAAGAAAATACCCTCTGTTGACTTGAACTACAGCAACCATGGCATTAATGAGCTCACAGTTATAGAAGCAGCTTTAATCCCAAAGGATCCTATCCTGCACATGCAGAAACATGAACTGTATCTAGGAATGGGTTTATTTTCATCTCACGAAGGAAATGCGGCTGCCTCTGGAGGGAAATTCAGCAGGTGTTGGACAAGGCACAGCAGCAGTCTGTGTAGGGTGGAAGAGGCAATGAGGATGGGATTTTGGTAGCGGCATTGTGCTGGCCAGGCAGGGATCTGTGCAGTCCTCCCTGGGACTGAGAGGAGGAAAACTTCTTCCAGAAGTGGGGAGCTGCCAGAGAAAATAAATCCGGGAGAAGAATGAAGTAGCTGGAGAACAACAAAGTGGGGAGCAGGTGGGAGAGGTATGACTCAGGCAAGAGATCCCTGATTGAAAGCTAACCCTGTTGTGGAAAGCTCTGCAGCACCTCTAGCAACCATAAACCACAGGAGCATGTTCCCTGCTTTCTGTCATGGACAGCTTGTTCAGAGCAGAAAGCAGCAAGGACCTGTCTCTTCTGCAGTACTGGGTTTCCCTTGGCCTCAGACCCCACTGCTGGCCAAATTCAACCAGGTTGTCTTCAGGAGAAGTAATGGGATATCCCTCAGGTACTGCTGCTCCTCTATTTGCCATGTCTCAGGCAGCACAACTAATGTTCCATTTTTGCCTCTTTTTCAGGAGGAAAAGTCAAGGGAAAAGCAGAGGGATGTTGTGTGACCCCAGGCATGTGTGTGCCATCAAAGAGGAGCTGCAGAGACTGGGGGGACAGCAAGGTTGAGAGTCAGACCTTACATTTCTAGCCAGCACTGCTGACTTGAACGGGAGCCTGGCTCTATCCGTTTGTCATTGTCATGTGTCTTTTGCCAGGAGGCAGCATTATATTCCAAGGCCTGAACTAAATGCATTTTACATCAAGGAGTTTCAGCTCCAGGGCTCACTTTGTAACTCTGCTCTGCTGTACCATGCTCAGCAGGGAACAGTCCAGATGTTCTTACTTGGTTGTCCAGGACAGTTAACAATGCTTTTCTTTCATTAATCAGACAATCATACTGATATCTGGTCCGCAAAAGGTATCGGGCTTCTCTACAATTTCTGTCATCCAGCATCTTGTTTCTCGGAGACATGATCTGGCCTATGGTTAGTAACACCTCTCTCTGCTCTCGAGTCAGAGACTCTATTTCTTTTCTGTAAAAACAAAAAGACAAATGACATCTAGCACACCCCATCTACACCACCAGAGCAGGTCCTACACCACCACCCCCGCTCCATCTCAGCACCAGGGTCCCCAGATCTCAGCACGGAGGAACTTTCCAAGCACAGTGCAGCTGAGTGAAGCTGAACTCACTCCTGAGCCTGTATTTGCTGTCTCAGGTTGACACTATAAGACTTCCTCTTCTCCGCTGCTATCCGAAACTGCTTCTGCAGTCTGTTGATCTCAGACACAACCATCCTTTCTGACTCCTTCACAGGCTCATCTGAAAGGCCCTGCCTCGAGAGGAGCCCTCGTCGCTGCCACAGAGAGGGAGAGTTTGGTCACTTGAGCAAATGCAACCAGCAGTGGTAGACAGTGGAGATGGACACAGGGGAGTGGGTTAATGGCATCACCTCCAGCTCTTTGTCACCACCATCAGCTCTTTGCTGCCACCTGAGATGTTCACCACCACGAAAACCACTGAGCCACACAAACCAACTCCATAAGTGGGTCAGACCCACTTCAGAGCAAACCCCATCGTGCTGGGGATGTGAACAAACCCAGCTTTGCCCAGGAGTGGAGCAGGAGTGCTCACATTCCCAGCTGTTGGAAGGTAACTTCTAGCTGAGAAACTGCCCAACAGGTAAGCACTGAAGCTGTGACATTTAGATCCACCACTACCTGTGTCCTCAGGTGTATCTCCCAACCCTCCCAAACACCCAAATCTCAGGCCATGGCCTCATCGCCAGCAGAATCAGCCCCAGTACAACCCAACACCTTGCTGGCAAAAGAAATCCTGGCTCCCTCCCCACCACCCATCCATCTCACTGCACCACAGCATTTATTTCTGCAGAGAAGATCTCCACAGCAGATCCAATTTGGCTTTGATTTGTGCTTCAGTTTTTACCTTTGACTTCCTCATTTCTTCCAGCTAATCCTGCAGTCGCTTTGCAGGCACCTTGGGAAGAGGAAGAAAGAGCCTCCACGGGGACAGCCCTGCTTTCCAAGGGGAGAAATGAAACCTGGGTAAGGGGTTAGTGGTGTAGTTGTGTCCCCCTGCCCACCCTTCAGGTGTTTTGGCACATGAGGAAACCATCACAGATGGCTGTGCAATGAATAAAAGGAGAACATGTGTAGGGATGTCATCACGAAGCACGCTCCTCTTATCCAGCTTATAAGCTGGGGAAGAACAGATGGTTGGAGTTATTCCATCCCTTTCGGTACCTGGGTTTCCATAGAAATCCCAGTGAGGCCAGACCCCCTGTGCCAGCAGGCAGAGTCCCCTGGGAGCATGAGCAGGGACATTGCCTCAATGCAGCCCTCATCCCACTGCAGCACTGGGGCCAACTCTGCAGCCCTCACCCCCAAAGCTGGTCCACCCCCCAGCCCCGATGCAGCCCCCAGTTTCCCTATACCCGCCAGTGCTGCTCACCTTGCTGCAGGATGCTGCAGTTCCTCTCCAGCCAGAGGACAGGACTGCGATGGCAGCTGGTTTTTCCCAAAGAACAGCTTTCCAGTGGGAAGCACAGGAGAGGTAAGAACCCGTCAGAGCAGGTACCGGTCCAATCCCGGTTGCTATGACAGTGACATCACACCAGAATGTGGACGGGTTCTCCACGGGGACCATCACCAAGAAGGGTCTCCAGGGGAGTGCTAGGAGCCCCCATTACATGGACTAGAAGGGTTTCCATACCCCAAACCCAGACCTGAAGCATGTGCTCTGATGTCTCCCTGGCTGCAAGTCCACAGCAAGCAGAAACCTCATTTTACTGTTTCTTGCTTCCCTTTGCAACGTTTGAATCACCTCATAACCTGGGACTTTGAAGCCTTTTGCTTCAACTGGAAAGCAGAACCCAGGCTTTTGCTGTTCAGAGCCATAGAGTTGCCATTCCCTTCCCTTCCTTGCCACCAGTTCCTTGGACTTCCTACCTAGTTTCTATCTCTTTTGCTCATGGAGAAGCAGCAATCACCACATCGCTGCCACTGCCTCAGCATCTGGACATCCTCGAGATGCCTGTCATTGGGAGAGCAGCAATGGTTGGCACTGCCAGCGTGGGGACAGACACTGTTTAGACAGCCAATATAGGGAACAAACTAAGGATTCATACCCACTTCTCTCCTTTCCATGCAGGGAAGCACACAGGAGCTGTGGGCTGAATCACAAGAGCTGTGATAATCCCTTCCTCATAAGCCAGAGCGCGTGTCCAGCTTCTTCCCAGGGACTCAGCAAACCCTGTGATCCCTGGAGGGCAGAAGCATGAGACAGAGCTGGAGGCTGCAGCAGGGCTGTGTTTTGTAGTCCTGGTGCTGCTTACTCAGCTGTGGGATGAAGGGGAATAGAGAAGTGCTGAAGGTGAGCAAAGGGCATCCGTGTCCCAGTTTGCAGGGCTGCAGTGAGTTCAAATGCGATGAGCAAAATCCCCAACCAGCACATCACTCCTGAGGCTGCCCATCCCTGTTATCCTGGAGACTTTGATGAGCTAACAAGCTAGCCATCAAGTTCCAGGCTAATTCACAGCCAGCCAGGCTCTGAGGATGCACTTAATTGGAAATGATTTCCATGGCAGAAAGCAGAATGTGACATTAGATAAGAAAAACCTTAACTGAGGGCAGAGCAATGCTGGGAAGGCACCAGAGCCTGAGGGTCCCACAGGGGCTCAGGGAAGCTCCCAGAGCTTTTTGTGCTGTTCATGCATGATAGACAGCTCCGTGGGATAATAACAGCAGCCTCTCCAGGGATGAAGTTGTCACTCTGTCTCGGTGGCCCTGGCTGTGTCATACTGCAGGTCCCTTCCCTCCAGTTTGCTTCTCTTCACCCTCAGCAGAAACAAGGCCAAACCTTCAGCTCAGAGTAAAGGTAGACCTGCAGGGGTGGTCACTATTTTCCTAGAAACAATGTGGCTCAAAATCCTGTTTTCCATTGGCTTGGACTAGTCCAACCTCAAAATACAGCCCATAATATCTGCCTTTTTTGTGTTCCTTCTCCATAGACCAATTCTCAATTGTTTAGCAATGAACAAGTCAGTAAATTAAACTATTGAGGAGGGTTCTGATTTGGTAGAGTCTGTGTCTGTCACACTCATTTATTTTACTAAAGGAGATTGTTTTCACCCAAACAATGCTCAACTGTCAAGACTTGCTCTAAGAGAGGGTGACTTCATTGTCTGGATGGACCTTTAAGCTGTGGCTGAGCAGAACAGTAATCAGAGCAGGATGAGATAGTCTGCAACATCTGAATCCAACAAGTCTTTGTCTTCTGGCAAAAACAGAAGAAAAGTGACTTTCTATGCAATTTTCACTTAACCCATCTTCCCTGATTTAATAGGTACATTTAGCACTGATTGACATGGAGAAATTGTTCCTTCAGCTGCAGATTTGGGGTCTAATTAAAACTATTGGTACTATTTTAAGGGCAAAATTCTGATCTCTGCAAGCAGCATAAATCCTTCCTGATTTCAGCAATGATTTTCCTGTTTCACTGGGTCCAGTTAAATGGTGGCTGCAGGGGACAGAACTGGGCTGGCTCTGATCTGAGCTCACCTGGGAGCATCCCATCGACATCCAAGAAGATCTCTGGGGTAAGCTAGAGAATCAGGCCCATATTTTCATGCAAATTTAATACATTCATGTTACCTAATGCCTATTTATAACAAATCCAGAACTTAATTCTACTTAACCCGTCTTTGGTGTTTGACACATGAAATCTGTGAGTCATAGGACTATATATGGAACTGTCAAAACTTTCTTTTTTCCCTCCTCTAAAAGCCTGGATTAAATCATAATCAAACTCCCGTCAGCTCCAGCAGCAAAGCTGGGAGGTGCAGGAAGATGTTCACAACTGCTAAGGCAGCTGGGGATGGGGAAAGATCTTCTCAACCAGCAATCCAAAGGCAAAACCTTATAGAAGGGGTTCCAAATTCAGACCATCTCTGCTGAAATGGCATCCCATGGACTTGGAGTGATTCCTTGGCCTCATGGTGCCACCTTACAAAGACTCGGCTTGAGAATGGCCTCCCATGAGCTCATCCTCTACCCAGGTTTTTGCTCTTTCCTCTAAAGAATGGCTGCCTTGATATGCACATGAACCATACCAACCTTCATGCACAAACACCAGTTTTGGTCCTAAAAGCATTGCAAATGTATTGAGAGTTGTAGACCTGCAGCCTTTTGCAACTGGCCTGACTTTTGCTCAGTTCTGCTGCGTGTTTCTTACAGAAAAGGTTTCTTAAAATACACACCATTTAATCCTCAAATGCTGAGCCATTCTTTCCCTGCATGATATCACTTCTCCTTGCCTGCCCGTCCTCAGCATGCACCCTTCTGGGAGAAAAGGCTCTCATGCCCAGCATCTGCAACAACACTGCAAACATCTGATGCAATTTTCCTGATTTAACACTTAAAATCTCAACAAAATCAAAGCCAAATGTGCCAGAGACTCTACAAGCGCGCAGCGGGACACCATCCTCACACTGGAAGTCTACAGGGTAAAAATAACAAGTGCATATCCATCATATCTATCATTAGAGATGACAAAATAGTACAAAAGTAGTTGGTTTTCACCTCTACGTATGTTTTTCCTGACAGACTGTGAGTGCAGCAGCAATAGCCTTTAGGTAGCAGGATGGGGTAGAGATGTCTCTACGTATGGCTTTAAGTTTTAAGAGGAATTGGTACTAAGCAAGGGCAGGGGAGGCTGTTCACTGCCTCCTCGATTACAGCTGTAATTCCTCTTCACTCAAAGAGGAAATTGTCATCATAATTTCCTGCAGATGGGTCTCTTCTGAATTGCTGACACCAAGCAAAATGTGATTTCCAGCAGTGAACTGACTCCATGGCGTTACTTGGTGGTTTTTAATGGGTCATTTTAGGAGCAAGTTCCCCAGGGCTTGACTTTGGGAAAGTAAAACTCTTTTCCACTGCAGGCTCAGCCCCTCCAGCGGAGCCTAATGACAGGGATTTGCTTCATCTCTCTGCACTAACTTTGCCTGCAGCAGGTACACCGTGCTGAATTAATGCTCAAAGGCTGCCGCCGCGGGGGGGGGAAACACAGAAGCAAAATAGCTGAGGACGTGCTGCCATCTGAAAGCAAGGAAAGACCTCAGAACATTTCACTGCCCTGAGGTCAAACCTGGCACATAGCAAGCACTCATCTGCTGCGGGAGGGAGCAAGAGAAGAGAACAGAGGACTCAAGGACAGAGCCATCGCAGAAGCTGCTGTCACACGGGCTCTTACCTGCCTGGGACAGGGTTCTCTGTGTAGACAATATGGGTTTTTGCTTGTGATTTAGGCAAAGCCTCACAAAGTAACACTCTGAGC